CTGGAGGTAGTAATGGTGGTTATAGTGGAGGTTACAGTGGGTGTCGTAATAATAGTGGTAGTGATAGCGGTAATAAGGAATGTTATATTGCTTGTGGTTGCAGAGATGCATCGTCCAGGGAACGATAGTAGTGGTTGAAGCAGTGTTGGCTGTGGTAAAGATGGTAGTAATGGTGATGTTAGTGGAAGGATCAGTATTGGTGGAGGGAACAACTTTGTGGTTGATGTGATGTAAATGGTTTAAAAAACCGACAACTTGAAGAAAATACGCTTGTGCAACATTTGGAAATCAGTGATGTCCAGGAAGAAAAACATGCTAAGTGTCGTGGGCAACATTTATTTATTAACAAGTAAATAATTACAACCTTCACACTTGACATAATTATCAATTATAAAAAACACGTTTCTCAGATGATCGAGGTTGGCAGACGCAGTCTGTTGGTCTTAAGTTCAGTAGACTTGTGAGTCGTTAAAAAAGTAACATGTTAAGGGCCGGGCAGTGCTCAACCTAATTCTGGAACATGTCCTATACCAAACCTGTGAACTTTGTAAAGAATCTTTCCATCCTTGTAGAAAAGAGGGTCCCATGTTGGCGCAGGATAATTCAACAATAGTAAAGAATAAAAGAGTCACAATACACAGAGAACCAGCACCTAGAAGATTGAAACTTATGACGATGTTTTGCTCTGGCTTGGAACATTAATAAGCCACACAGATTAGCGAGAAGGGAAGGGAGCCAGAATACATACGCGAGGGGGCGGGGGAAGGGAGTGGTCGAACGGGAGGAGGGAGTAAGAACATAAGAACATAAGGAGGAACACTGCAGCAGGCCTGTTGGCCCATTAGGCAAGTCCTTTACAATTCATCCCACTAACAAAACATTTGACCAATCCAATTTTCAATGCTACCCAAGAAATAAGCTCTGATGTGCAAGTCCCACTCAAATCCAACCCCTCCCACTCATGTACTTATCCAACTTAAATTTGAAACTACCCAAAGTCCCAGCCTCAATAACCCAACTAGGTAGACTGTTCCACTCATCAACTACCCTATTTCCAAACCAATACTTTCCAGTGTCCTTTCTAAATCTAAACTTATCTAATTTAAATCTGTAGTAGTGGTGGTGATAGTAGTAGTGGTGGTGGTAGTAGTAGTGGTGGTAGTAGCAGTAGTAAAAGTGGAAATAAGGCAGTAGTAGTAGTAGCAGTAAGTAGGGGATTTTGTCCTTTCCCAGTGGGCAAGTAGTTCTGCAGTGCTCTTCCGTTCTCTTGTTTTTATAGACTACTACTAGTACTATTTCTTTCTTAATACTACACTCTGCCAATTTTTATACATCAACCGTCTTATTTTCATCTCTCCTGCTGCACTACTACTACCTCCTCCCGTTCTACTACTCCCTTCCCCTGCTCCTAGTAATCTATTCTGGCTCCTTTCCCTTTTAGCTTCTCTGTATGAATTGTTAATGGCCTAATCGTGACTGGAACGTCGCCACAAGTTTCAGTCTACTAAGTGCAGGTTATTTGTGTATTCATCATTAGTCTTATACATTCGGTGAATAGTGTTCAGAAATCCTCCTCCGTGTTATCCTGAAGGTTTCGTACATTGTCACCATTGCATATACTCTTAATGATACTCTGTTAACTTGTTCATCAGGAAGTGAGTTTGTGTGACATCCACCTCCAATGTCCTTATCTGATTCTGATTCTATGAGATCTCATTTAAGGTAGTCAAACTTTAATCTCCAGCCTCCTGATCTTATGTTAATCATCTTTTATTTCTTGGGAGTGAACTCGAACAGCTTCCCCTTCAACAATTTCTGTACCTCGTTCAAATTTTCTTGTACTTTCTCAAGTCTTCCTCTAGCCTCTTGCAGTCATGTTCTGTACTTAGTCTCTTTATGATATTTACCAGTGACATATAGTGTCTATTTCACCTAATAAGTCATTTCCATATAAAATTAACAATGTGTTTAAGAAGTGAACACTGTGGTGCTCCACTTTTTACTTCTCTCTATTATATCGCTCTTATGTGACTCTCCTCCACCAGATGATTAAATATTCTCTTATCAGTTGGAGAAGCCTCCCAGTCACCGGTTTGTTAGGTATTATCTAATCAGTTTGAGGAGTATCCTTCCAGTTACTCCCTTCTGGCTTTCTTGATTGCTTATTTCTTTCTTGTTAAGAACCATATCAAATACCCTTAGACAATTTAGAATTATTCAGTTTACGTATCCTTAGTCTCCTTGTCTGGTTATTATCATATAATTAATTATCATATAATTAAGAAGGATGTTCCTTCTCACAGCCCCTGCTTGTTTTAATTAAAAATGTCTGTTTTCCAGGTGGTTTACTAATCGAGTGCTTATTATTTTCTTCATAATTAGATGATATTTAATGTTAGTAATACTCTGACTTTATTTTCATTTTTGTCAGATTTTTAGGTAGTCTGCTGTTTAGTGGAAAGGGCCCTCGATGCTGAAGAAACTTGTATTATAGGCGACCTATCGATCTGGGAAGAGTTTTATTAAGTCATGCAATACGGATACGTTGATGAATAAGACACATGTGAAATAAATGGTATAAAATATCGACACAATGGAAATATAAATACATAAACAGTACAATGGGCGTTTCGCCCACACAGTGGGCTTTATCAAGTCAGGTAGATCTGTTTGTGACTTGATAAAGCCCACTGTGTGGGCGAAACGCACACTGTACTGCTTATGTGTTTATATTTCCATTCCTAGATACATATGCATGAGAATTCTACGTGCTGTGTATACCACTTATAACACGATGCTTGTCTGGCACAGCAAGACTATGACAACTTGGGGATGTCTTCTCAAGCTCTTGTACCAACATCTGTTTAGCATGACTTACTTCCACTGGTAGACCCTAATTCCCTGTGACTTCTCTAGCTGTTGCACCTCTTTTTGTAACTTTAGTATTTAAGGCTCTGGCCTCGTGCCTTTACTCTAGGCCCTATGCTGTACATTCTACAAGATTGATGGACCGAACACATCGACTCCAGGTTGAGGGACTGATTACCTCATACTCCTCCTCTCCTTACGCCTTCCTCTTTGTATTGGACTGATGAAGCCACATTGGACTGATGAGGACACATGTGCTAGTAATGCTACATTTTATTGTGGCAACGTTTGGTTTTGTCAATTGTTTGTGAGTATTTCATGAAATCTCTAATTAATCTTTCACACACTTCTTTAAGACTGATCACAGAATAAATAACTTTTTCCTTTCTCAATGTGTGAATGTGTAATAATTTTGAATAAAAATATTTTTATTGATAGCTGTTATTTTCGCATATTTTTCTATCTCTTTTGATTTTAAAATAATAATTTCAAAGTTTATTTAGTGTTCTTGTTATATATTTATTCCGTGCTCGTTTTTAAATGTTTGCGATACCATACATTTCTCTCTAAAACATTAGTTATCTGTGTACTGTTCCATCTCCCTTTGAAGTAGAATGAATCTTTCATTTTCTTCTCTGTTTTTTGGGGGTCAAAAACCCATTTACCTTTTTTTTTTTTTATAATTAAGTTCATTGGTTCATTTTGTTTTTGAGAATAATCATTACACTTGTATCTTTCTTTTTTTTTTTTTTAATTTATTGCTCCCTTCCCGTCTATTGCATTCTTTTACTTTTGCCTCGACTATGTAATTTAATATTATGGTACAATGGTTGCTGCTCCTGGGAATCACTCAGTCTTCTCTCTGGCTGAATATATCGTATCTTTTTCTATCATATCCTCCTCTCATCCTTAATGGTCCTCTATATTATGTCTCTGATGTCATCTTCGTCTGTATAAGTTGTATCATGTACAAATAAAGATTATCATTATTATTATTATTATTATTATTATTATTATTATTATTATTATTATTATTATTATTATTATTATTATTATTTTATTAACACATCGGCCGATTCCCACCAAGACCTGCTGGTTTCCCTGAATCCCTTCATAAATGTTACTTTGCTCACATTCCAGCAGCACGTCAAGTATTAAAAACCATTTGTCTCCATTCACTCCTATCAAATACGCTCACGCATGCTTGCTGGAAGTCCACGCCCCTCGCACACAAAAACCTCCTTTACCCCCTCCCTCCAACCCTTTCTTGGCTGATCCCTAAACCACCTTCCCTCCACTACAAATTTATACACTCTCGAAGTCATTCTGTTTTGTTCCATTCGCTCTACATGCCCCAACAACCTCAACAACCCCTCTTCATCCCTCTGGATAATAGTTTTGATATTCCCACACCTTTCCTTAATCTCCAAACTACAAATTCTCTGAATTATATTCACACCACACGTTGACCTCCACTCCCTCCAGCCTTCTCCTCGTTGCAACATTCGTCACCCATGCTTCACACCCATACAAGAGTGTTGGTACAATTATACTCTCATACATTCTCCTCTTTGCTTCCACGGACAAAGTTCTTTGTCTCCACAGACTCCTAAGTGCACCACTCACCCTTTTAACCTCGTCAGTTCTACAATTCACCTCATCCTTCATAGACCCATCCGCTGACACGTCCACTCCCAAATATCTGAATACATTCACCTTCTTCATACTCTTTTCCTCTAATCTTCCGTTACCTAAGATTTTTGTTATCCTCATCACCTTATTTTTTCCTATATTCACTTTTAACTTCCTTCTTTTACATACCTTACCAAACTCATCCACCAACCTCTGCAACTTCTCTTCGGAATCTCCCAAAAGCACAGTGTCATCAGCAAAGAGCAACTGCGACTCTGAGTTCGATTCTTTATCTTTTAACCCCATACCTCTTGCCAACACCCGAGCACTCAGTTCTCTTACAACTCCATCTATAAATATATTGAACAACCATGGTAACATCACACATCCTTGTCTAAGGCCTACTTTTTTTGGGAAATAGTCTCCCTCTCTCCTCCATACTCTAACCTGAGCCTCACTATCCTAGTAAAAACCTTTCACAGCTTTCAATAACCTACCTC